TTAAGTGATTAAACATCACTTGTGTGTGCAGATTAGAAGCAAACCCAAGATGTGATGGGATATCTACGGAAGACACTCACACAAATGTAGCTACATATTAAAATTAAGAAAAAAACTAGAAGCATTTGATCCTTGTACTTCTCCGTGAGTTAAGAGAAATGTAAGTTAAAAGTATTGGTTAAAGTCTAGACATTTAATTTAATTTCCTATAAATATTCATTAAAACTAATCGGTAGTGTCTATTGGATATTGAAAAAAAAAAAGAAACACTGATTTTACATCGATAAATTAAAGGTGGAAGACTTGGAAAAACAAATCCATGTTTACAAAGTTCATAAAGTTGGGTTAAGTGATGTGAAGTTAGGCTTAAGTGATGTCGTGAAGTTAAGCTTAAGTGATGTCATGACGTTAGTGTTAAGTGATGTCATGCAATTAGGTTTAAGTGATGTGGAGAAGTTAGTTTTAAGTGATGTCGTGAAGTTAGGTTTACGTGATGTGCTGAAGGGATGGTTAAGTGATGTCCTGAAGTTAGGGTTAAGTGATGTCGTGAAGTTAGGGTTAAGTGATGTCCTGAAGTTAGGGTTAAGTGATGTCGTGAAGTTAGGGTTAAGTGACTTCGTGAAGTTAGGGTTAAGAGATGTGAAGTTAGGGTTAAGAGATCTCGTGAAATTAGTTTAAAGTGATGCCGTGAAGTTAGGGTTAAGTGATGTCGTGAAGTTAGGGTTAAGAGATGTCGTGAAGTTAGGGTTAAGAGATGTTGTGAGGTTAGGGTTAAGAGATGTTGTGAAGTTAGGGTTAAGTGATGTCGTGAAGTTAGGGTTAAGTGATGTCGTGAAGTTAGGGTTAAGTGATGTCTTGAAATTAGGATAAAGTGATGTCGTGAAGTTAGGCTTAAGTCATGAAGTGAAGTTAGGGTTAAGTGATGAAGTGAAGTTAGGGTTAAGTTATGAAGTGAAGTTAGGCTTAAGTGATGAAGTGAAGTTAGGGTTAAGGGATCTTGTGAAGTTAGGGTTAAGAGATGTTGTGAAGTTAGGCTTGAGTGATGTCGTGAAGCATGCGAATGAATAACATCTGTATTTCTTTTATATTTGTTTGGACATTTGTACTCCTTTATTATTCGAATTAAGCGCTTGATCAAGTCAACGGGTGTATGATGTCTCAGGGCGTGACCCAGTGCTCAGGTGTATGATGTCACAGGACGTCACCCACTCCTCGGGTGTATGACGTCTCAGGGCGTCCCCAGTCCTCGGGTGTATCATGTCACAGGGCGTAACCCAGTGCTTTATGTATGATGTCACAGGGCGTCATCCAGTCCTCGGGTGTATGATGTCTTCGGGCGTGATCCAGTGCTCGTGTGTATGATGTCTCAGGGCGTGACCCAGTGCTCGGGTGTATGATGTCACAGGACGTCACCCACTCCTCGGGTGTATGACGTCTCAGGGCGTCCCCAGTCCTCGGGTGTATCATGTCACAGGGCGTAACCCAGTGCTTTGTGTATGATGTCACAGGGCGTCATCCAGTCCTCGGGTGTATGATGTCTTCGGGCGTGATCCAGTGCTCGTGTGTATGATGTCTCAGGGCGTGACCCAGTGCTTGTGTGTATGATATCTCAGGGCGTGACCCAGTGCTTGTGTGTATGATGTCTCAGGGCGTGACCCTGTGCTTGTGTGTATGATGTCTCCGGGCGTGATCCAGTGCTCGTGTGTATGATGTCTCAGGGCGTGACCCAGTGCTTGTGTGTATGATGTCACAGGGCGTCATCCAGTCCTCGGGTGTATGACGTCTCAGGGCGTGACCCAGTCATCTGGTTAATGATTTCTCAGGGCGTGACCCAGTGCTCGGATGTATGATGTCTCAGGGCGTGACCCATTCCTCGGGTGTATGATGTCACAGGACGTGACCATGTCCTCGGGTGTATGATGTATTATGGCGTTACCCAACGCACGAGTGTATGATGTCTCAGCGCGTGACCCAGTCCTCGCGTGTATGTCCCCCGGAGTTTTCAAATTGTCTTTATCAGCGATTCCTGTGATTTTTCTCCCGATGCTCAAACTTTATTTAAAATTTCCTACCCATAATCCTAAGGTCTCCAATCAGCGTGAGCGCTGGCCATTGTAACATTTGTACTCAATCCAAGCAACTTCAATTTTCAGTTTCGTACTAGTATTAGAAATTGCTTTGCCTTTTTTTAAAATCCAGTTCTGTAAAATGTATTAAAAAAACTATTTTCTTTTGAAATTACCCGACTCCTATAAGTGGACACGTTCTTAAATTTAACAAAGAAATGTTTTATTTACATATAAGTAAGTTTTTCAGCCTGCTTACTCGAATTAAGAGACTGGTGACTTACCTAAAGTTGAATTACATTCCTCTAAAGCTTTCGCCCTATAAAATGATGCCTTACTTTACTGACTATATAGCAAACTGAATAATAGCATGTCTATACTATGTGAGAAGGTGAAGTCTTGTGAGTCCTGAATATTTAGAGAACAAATGATTTCATGTCTATTTCGTTCCTTACCTTTTAGCGAATAAAATTAACCTGCATCGTGACGATTTCCAGTAACTTTTTTCTAATAAAACATTTCATTTTGTGGGGTGGGCTTTGTGTTTTGCGAAGTGTATTTCAATATGTCTCCGTTTCACTTTTAAATTGTAATTTTTTTTAAATTTCCTTATTAATGGACCCGCTATTTAATGTATAGTATTTGATTTCCTAATGTAGCCCTTTATGTATAATTATATAGCCGGAACATATCATGGGAAAACCCACCTTTTTTTTTTTATAGAAGGTCATTAACCAACAATGGACCCAATACTCTTGAAATTTTGTAAATATTTTTTTAAAAACTAAAATTATTGCATTTAAAATACAAAAACACCTTACATTGAATATGATAAAATGAAATGGGGACATTGATCGAATTTCCATATGTCAAAATTTAGAGAATTTCTTTTCCCCTTGTTCTAACATCGCTTGAAACACGTGATGTATTGTAACACAAAAACACCAGTAATTTCCCCTCGGGCTATAATTAGAAAGGCGATTCAATAAACCTATAATATATTTTCCTATTGCTCTTGTGATAGAAGGTTTTTGTTTTGAATTGTCTATAGAATGTCGCCAGGAACGCCTTGGTTGAGGATCACTGCACTTCTGTATTTTGTGACCACTATCAGATGTGTGGCATTAAAGGACCCTGAACACTGGAGTAACAGAGGTTCTAGGGTATCTAGAGGACTTAAGCAGCCAGTTCACGTTGTTGAGAGGGAAAACGTATACCGCCAACCTAAACGAGGAGTCTTAGACAGCCTTAGAGCAATGCTGACCACCTTTGAAGAAGACAAGAAAACACAGACGGTGTCTTATAATGGCAAACAATACGATGATTTTAATGACAAGTTCCAACCACAGAATTCCTTTAAATGCCCGCCATGCGTTTGCAAAAATATAAGTTCACATTTTGTGGCCGTCTTTTGTGAATTCTGTAAACTGACAAGTATCCCACAAAATTGGTCGGTTGGAATAGACGCAATAATAATTACATATTGTTACAGCCTTGAGGAATTAGACAGCATGACTCTTTTAATGCACACTTCTCTGACATATGTCAAAATCTCGACCACTAGCCTAAAAGCTGTTAGAAGTAATCGCTTCAATTTTTCTTCTCCGGTCATCAACTTGGATCTCACTGGGAACGAAATATCAACAGTTGAAGATGATAGTTTTGTTCTTTTCCCCAGTTTGCTCAACCTGTCGCTAAATGATAACCAAATAAGAAATATAACCAGACGGATGTTCACTGGACTCTATAAAATGCGCTCCCTCACAATTCAAAATAATAATATCAACTTTATTGCCAACGACACATTTGATGACCTGGGAACACTGGTCACCCTTGACATAAGTTCGAATGAAATAATCTATAGGGGTCATGACCTAATTCCTGTTCGTATGCTAATACCATTGAAAAATCTGCAAGAAATATACATCGATGGGATCTGCAAACTAGGAACCTACATGTGTGGAGAATACCCCAATAAAGCTCTTCAGGTACTAAGGAATCTAAAACTTCTTAGGATCAATGGCGCAGGTAGTCGCGGCTTAGGACCAGAAATAAAGAGCCTTATCCACTTGAGGCATTTGATCATAATATTTCCAAATTCAGATAACTGTACTGACCAATCATATTTCGATAACGTCCCTTTCATAACGACACTTACAACGTTCAACAACGGACTGCACATAAATCCGAAAGCGTACTCAAAACTTAAACACTTGGTGAACTTGACCCAGTCGACGGTTCACACTACACCAGAAACCAACCTATGTCACGTTTTGAGCGACATTCAATACTTGCTGAATTCTTCTCTGAAATTTTTAACACTGCGAGGAGTCAATGACCGAGCGTGTGGTTGCAAAGAACTCAGAGCCGAAGATGCCGAGTACTTGGCCATTTTGAAGTTGGTTGAGCTTGACCTGTCTCAGAACTACCTTGCCTACCTGAGTCCAGCTTTCATAGCAAAGTTACCAGGATCATTAAAGAAGATTGATTTAAGTGGGAACGGCTTATCCTATAGAATATTTTACAGTTTTGATAAATTCCCGAAAGAACTCGTCGAATTAAATCTAAACAACCAGTACAATGTTTATTATCCATGCCATGATGATGATGAAACTAATTCAAATCACGTGACGAAATGTTTGAATGTAGCAGAAAATGAAAATTCCTCAAACATGTCCTTAATTTCTATATTTAAAGAATCGGAAAAATCCTTTAAACTTCAAAACCTCGAACACAAAATGAAAAATCATAACAAAGAGACCATCGAAGTTTCAAAAGATTATCTCCCTCCTAAATTGCGAATTTTACGGGGAGATAATTTTAGAATGTTTGGAAAGACCATGTGGGGGTTTCTATGACGTCATATCTAACCACTCATTGAGGGAGTTAAGTCTTGCTGGGGGTGATTTTAAGAATTGGGCTGCTGAGATCTCAATGCTTGACATTGAAACAGCAGATTTTAACTTCAACTACGCGAATTATTACAACATTTTTTTCTTCCCCGAGAACAGTTCAATGAAGTACCTCTCATTTTCAAACAATTTCTTGGGGCCTGCTTTTCAATACGATACGGGCAGTTTGTTTTTCGCAAACACGAAGCGACTTATTTCCCTTGAGATGTCGAATAATTTCATCTCAGAACTGGCATATGAATTCTTTAAAAATCTTATCAAACTTCAAGTATTAGACATTTCCATAAACAAACTTCAGATGATAAACATCAGCTTTGTGCATATGACTGAAATAAGAGTTCTCGACTTTAGTTCGAACTCGATAACATCGATAAGTAAGCAGTCTCGAGACGAACTGGATTCCATAGCAACCGACCATCGCGTTTATCTTGATTTGACCTCTAACCCTTTACCGTGCACGTGCGAAGGCCTAGAGCTGATGAAATGGATGGCCTTCACCAACGTTTATCTTTTGAACCAGGATTTTCTCGTGTGTAGAAATGAGTACGACAAAGAGTTGGAAATTGGAGATCTCGTCCAACGTGTGGAAACTTTACAGCGTCAATGTGCTTCAAAAACTGTCATAATTCTCACCTGTGCTTTTTTTTTGTATTGTATTCTGTATTTTGTTGCTCGCTTCTCTGATGTACCGATACCGATGGACCATAGCTTTGGTCAAACTTGTTGGCTCCAGACCCAGCACTGTCAAGATCGGGTACAAATTCGATGCTTACATCATTTACTCAGACGACACCAGGGGATTTGTCGTACGCGACTGTGTTCGTGAGCTAGAAGAGAAAAGAGGTCACCGTCTGTGTATTGAGGAGAGAGACTTTTTACCGGGTACCTACATCGTGTCCAACATCGTCAGCGGTGTGCAGAACAGTGCCAGGACTGTTGCCATGGTAACACCGGAGTTTTACCAAGACGAGTATTCCGAGTATGGCATCAAGATGGCGCTGATGGAAGAAATCTTTATGCACCGTTCCGTGCTCTTCCTGTGCATGTGCGAACCAACCGATAACAGGGATTTATCACGTGACCTGCTCACCGCCTTGAAACAAAATAACTACATTGAATTCCCGCCAAGAGATGACGCGTCTGATGAAATGATGTACGACTTTTGGAATCAGTTCTCACGTTCAATTGGTAGAAATATTGAGGAAGAGTTATGATTTGGCTGGCTTTTGATTGAGAAATCAGTTCGCACGAGTTGCAAGAACTGTTTGTTTTGATCTTTGAGTTAGATGCTATTTCGTTTTGGAGTAAGCTCTCAAAACTTTCAGTAAAATAAATCATTAGGAAAAATAAGTTCGATAAGTACATAATTTGGGACCGATTTCTAGCGTTCACTTTAAAGAAACATGAGCCAGGAGATGTTTTATGTAATTTCGTGGTCCATCCTTTGAATAATGTTAATCTATCACTTTGTGTTACTTTGTTAGAATTACAGCTTAATTCATTTCGCAACCAAACGTGCCCTTAATTTGCTTAATTGTTTAAACGACATTTAAATCTTACTATAAGATTTTGAAATTTTTTAACAATGTAATGCTATTGTGCGGAATAAACTACTTTTATTTTTATAAACCCCCTTAAACATTTAGAAAGAATAATGCACACAGATATATATTAATAAGCACGTTCTATTCTAAAACAGATTAAATATTATTTCTTTTTACAAATTTACAGTCATTATTTTACACTCTGATCGCGAGTTAAAATATGGTTAAATTACGTTCAGGTTTTTTTTGTGTGTGTGTGTTTGTTTGTTAAGCTTGTTAATGTTTATTCTTAAATAATTAGAAAAAATGACCCGATGTTATCGGGATACTAATGATAGGTCCTATGCGATAATTTCAAACTGCTAATACAAGAACTCGTCACAATTCATGACTATAAAAAGTTAATGATATTAATTTACGTCTCTAACATCATTAAGTTTTGAGAAGTATTTATCTGCTGTATATTATAGCCCTACCCTACTCCCTTTCACGCTTCTAAACTACTTTTTAAAAATGACCTTTAAATACCCAATCTAAATTATCTCTAATTATATCACTTTTGTCACTAAATAGGTTAATTGAGGGACAATTACAACGCTAGATTATTACATTAGAATTTCTTCTTTTCGTGCCCTTGAATTACAACTTTTTATCTCTAAAAATGATTCAAAAACCTTATATTAAATTTACACCAAAAACTCTATGTATGATATGAATATATTTTATAGTACAGGAATTCGGTTTGATATCTTCATCAAAAATTGAAACACATTTTTTGCCGTTTTTTTTTTTAATTATTCATTTTCAGAAAATCGTAAAACAAGGAATTCTTTTTTTCTAAAGAAGAATCTCGAAACCGTTTTTCCGCGTCTATTACAGACGTGTGGGTTTTTAAAAACAAAAAAAAATGTTTATCTCATTAAAATATAAACCCACTTTAATTTTCGCAAAGTAAAAACAAAAATATATTTTCCTTTTGTTTGAAAGAAAATATTAATTCATCTCCATTTGTCAAAATTAAATTTTCAATGTGTAAAATGATTGGGGTTTTGATGTTCATTGGTAGAGTTATATCCACGTACCCATGTTTTGTTAACGCCATTTGGATTTCTTAATTCTTAAGCATATTATGTTTTTTTTGTAAAAAGTGAATGCAACATCTCCTTCTTCACAAAGGTAATACCCTAAAATTTAAATATATTGTCCTCCACTTAAAATGTACACATATTGTTTACTACCTCCGATATGTATGTTCCTTAAGGAGGTCAATTATTGATCAAATTCATTCATTTATTTTTGAGACTTATCTTGTGCTGCCTGGAGCAAAATAACCACCCCCCCCCCCCCTCAAGACAACACTAGACACATTTGTGTCTATTGCCTCAAGCCTTCAAACCCCTAGTGCATAATTTCCTCATCACCAGACACATTTGTGTCTATTGCCTCAAGCCTTCAAACCCCTAGTGCATAATTTCCTCATCACCACCAGTAACAGAAACATTGCAAATCCCATCTACATGCATAGGAGCCAAAATTATCAATAAATTGATCGTGGGCCCTTAAGATATAGAAGAAGAAGAATAAGATAACTAATATATTTTGCACTTCTTTTGGTTGTTCTTATTTGGATGAGTTATACGTGGAGCAGTGAATGCCATTTGGATATAGAGTTTCCCATGCTCTGATGAACTTAAACGGCATTTCTTATAAGAATCTACATAACGTTTAGTTTTTATTAGCTTATCCATTTAATACAAGTGTAATTTTTGAAGTAAAAAAGCCAACACTTTTTAAATGTTAAAACATACAAAGATAAAATGAGTGTTTGTTTAACTAAAAAATTTTTAAAAAGCAATCAAATGACAATGTATTTATTTATTTACTTTTAAGAATGAAAAATACATTATCAGTTTTGTCACGCGCGGTTATTAAATTTAAAGGAACCTAAGAGTTTTGACGAAATGGGCTATTCGTGCTATGACGTCATTTGCGTGATTATTTAGAAAAAAATTAATTGTATTTTTTATTTCGCAACATTAACATCGCACTAAAAGACGCACTAAAAACGACTGATGTTTGGGTGTTCCCGATAAATGTGATTACGGAGTCATTCTTTGACCATGATTTTTTATGTTTTTTTTTTTTTTTATAACTTTCAAACACATATTATACTTAAAACAATTCCTTAGTTGATACTTTAAATGTATTTGTAATTTATAATCATAATAATAATTACATTTTTCCTAAAATAAAACCGGATTTAAATATTTTTTTTGCATTTAAATTTTTTCGATTTCCTTAAAATAATAAACAAAAAAACTATGATTATTTTTAGGAATCCGAACGTACTAAAATCGTATCGGTTCTTTGGCGTTATGTCACTAAAGCTCATTCTTATATATAAATATATAATATGGCAATATGTGTTTAGTTTGTTTAGTAAAACTTATTTTTAAAAAAATTATTAAAAAATTATTTAAAAAAAAATTATTTATTGAAAACTCAAAGGTAGATAACTCAAAGGTGAAGGGTCTTTCAAACAACCGTTAACAAAAAACGTGTACATCAACTACACAACACTAGGACACATCGGGAGTTTTGTTAGGACTAATCATTACGCATTCGCCAATTTAATTCATATTTATAATCTAACGATTCAATAATGACTCCCGACGTCGCATCCTCAATTTCCATCTCTTTCATTTCTAACTTAAACGTCGCTTTTAGAGATTTTGTTATATTAGCGGATTTTGTGAGACCTCTGAATAAGCTGAAAAGCCATGTTGTTTTTTCACCCAATTGTACACATCATTTCCTTTGTGAATTTTACATGGATGCGCTAAAAGATTTTTAAGAGGTTATGATTTTTTTCCCCGTAAAGTAAAGTAACGTCATGTAAAATGGCTACACTGGCTGCCGTTCATATCTTTTTTTTCTTACACTCCATGTCAATTTTTCATTTAACTTTGCATGTTCATTTTACTTTTAAATTTACATTTAACATTGACTGTTAACTTAACATTTACTTTTAATTAACTTTTATTTAAAATTGCCTTTTAACTTTGCGTTTAAAATTGCCTTTTAAATTCGCAATTAAAATTGACTTTGATATTTGCATTAAAATTTACTTTTAACTTTTATTTAAAATTTAAATTAAAAATCTTCCTAACTTATTATGGAGGCTCAAAACACCCAAAAGGAAAAAATCGAAATGCTGTTTTTTTAAAAAGATTATTGGCACCAATATTTCATTTCATTTTCTGGCTGTTAACTTTTCAGAGCTATTTCTTTGCGTTTGTCTAGGGCCGGCTTAAGGAAATTTCCGTTGGTGATAGTGTTAGGCCAGTTGATAAGCAGGATTTTTCTAACTGGGTGGGTGGCTGGCTGGCAAAGTCTTCGGGCGGATAATTGGCCCACTTCCCTTCAACCAATCTAGCTTAAACCTTTAGCCCATAGACTCGCTACCGATGTCAACACATTCTATCGAGTTGCCCTCACCACGCCCCCAATCCCATACCCGAAAAATTATGTTTTTTCATGGTAGGAAATATGATGAAATTAATTTTTACGAAATAAAATTTCCGATACTAGTGCTTAATGAGATACTTCAAATGACTATCGCAAGTGCTCTTGGTCATATTTTCGTTCGCTTGTCTGAGGTAGTCGGTGTGATAAATCCTCGGTGTAAAGCGGGTGGGGGGTCATTAGAATATTAATGTAGTCCAGGGGCGTGAACAATTTTGCGGTTGCCTTCTGGGGGAGCTAATTGGGATTCTTATAAAGTCCGTCAATTGTTTTGTCAAACATTCAGCCCCAGCGCCTTCCCCCCCCCCCTTTTCTATATATTCAAATTTATGAAGGATTGATATGAGACGATTTGCTGCGAGGGGCAATGCAGACTTTCAGGGAGGGTGTGATTAAATATATCAGTGCTAAA